ATATATATATATATATATATATATATATATAAAATCCAAAGTCTTTATCATTATATATCTAAAATATATTTTGAATATATAACTCAAAATGTTTACATAATTCGCAATATAATTCTAAATTTTATAATCTACAATAAAATTACGAAATCCAAAATGTGATTGTTAATTACATGATCTGAAATAATATTATGAATTTGATAATTTAAAATAAAATATATAATTTTAAATTATATACTTTGAAATACTATTTCATATTATTTAATTTAAAATATAATTATTTTAAATTATGTAATTCAAAATATATTTGAATGATAGTAATTTGAAAATCTTATGCCAAATATATAGTTTTTTTTTTATATTGCAAAGGTAGGAGAAGAAATTAAGGTAGTACATGAAGAGAAACTCTAGGATTTCAGTATGCAAAAGAAAAAGGAAAGCTCTTTTAACAACATGGGCTCCTATCATGCATAAATCCGAGGCTTCATTTCTAATCTAACCTTCAGTTTTCCTTCCCTCAATGTATGTGTGTTATGAAATTCCAGTAACTATTACTTTATGCACGACACAGTTACTAACTGCACCCGCATATTAATAGAAAAAGACTTAAATACCATCCATCATTGAGTAAGCATGTTTTCTTGGATAAAAACAGATTTTTTTGCATCAGAATTACCAATCTCATATTTTTAAACAAACTTACCTAAACAAAAAGCTAATTTTATTATAAACATTTATAACAAACACTAATTTATCAAAATAATTATTTTTCATATCTTTCCAAAATACACACTTATTTTTAAATTCATTTTATCTAAAGAGGTACAATGATGTAGACACAAGCTCTGTTAGTACACAACCTGGATAAGGTTCACTACATGCACTCAACGAGTAACCAAAACTATGCATTTATAACGAACGTACATACAACAAAATTGCAACAAACAAATCCGAAGATTTAATGGCCCCTACCATAATTTTCAAATGAGCTTCTTATAAAAAGAAATTAAACACAGTCTAAGTGTGTTTATTAAAAAAATTAATATCGATATGTAATTAAAATTAAAAATATATTTATGAAAAATATCAACATTAATATATAATTAACATCGAATTAATATCGAAGGTAGTGAAAATTTTAAATTTAAGAAAAACAAAAAAGAGAGTAAAAGATTACCTTCAAAATTATATAACACTAGATAATACTGTCCATCAAAAACAACATTGTAAAATCAACCTACTAAAACAAGATAAGAATTGATTAACCAAGAGTTAAAGCTAAGAGAAAGATTAAGAGACCTCAATTCCATCTATAAGAATCCATTAAACTACTATAAATAGAATACATTTCATGATTAAGCAAAGTTTATACTTATCAAGAACTTGATACAGAACAAAGCCAAAGACAGTCATGTTCATCGTAATCATGGTGATGATAAAAAACAACATAAACAATTTGTATGAATATGAAGTTTAGTGTTAAACTCTGATAAAGTAAATGCTGAGTTCAGGACCGCCAACACCATCAGGGTTCATCATGTAGAAAGCCTCAGAATCTCTTGAACCGACCACCCTCTCATAGCTTGCTCTCATGTACATAACCTCACCTTCTTCACAACCCTCCAACGGCAAAACCCCTGCTCCCATCGATATGGGCTCCACCGCCTTCAGTATCTTCCACTCCTCAGGCCCACACTCGCGTCTGCTCGCGTACCCGCACTTCCTCCCGTTGCAGTACGTCCTCCACACACCTTCCTCCAGCAACCTGTTACTCTTTTCGCTCTTCTTTTTCTCGCACTCCAACGCGATTCTCACCAGCCCCGACGCCATTTCACGGACCAACACACTTGTCGGTGTCGCCAGTTGGATCAGGAACGCGGGTCCCGCCTTCGGGTCTTCTTGGATGGCGAAGTGCACGTGGCCGCGCCGGTGCCCAAAGAGCGTTCCCACCACGCGCGTACCCAGCTGGGTACGCTTGGTGAAGACTGTGAGGGCTGACTTCAACTTGGAAAGGTTGGGTTTTTTCTTGTGTTCGGTGGTCACTGTAGCATGTTGTGATGACATTTGAAGTGGGTGGTTGTAATCTTGTTGTTTCTCGTCTAGGAAGTGTGAGGATGAAGTTGAGAAGTTGAGTATTTCTTCCTCGTTATCATCATCTTCTTCGTCCAATGCTTTCTTCTTCCAATGGAAATATCTCCTTGAGAAGGAGAACGAAGATTCATGAGGAAATTTGGCTGCCATAATGGTTTTCATTTGAGCAGAGAGAGAGAGAGATTTGGGTTGAAGAATGGGAGCAATGTTGTCGAAGGTTGTGTGTGCGATTTATCGTTTGAATGTGTGGCTTTTTGTCAGGGTTTGGTGATACAAAGGACAGGCAAAGGATTCTGACAAAAGGAAGGTAAGCAGCCTCAACCTACCTGTCCTTGCTGTTGGGAACAAGGAAGTGGAGATTTTGAGAGAGACAGAAGAGTGTCAAACGACAGTAAAAATATGATTTAGTTAAATTAGACAAATATGTGTAGAGGAAGATATTTGTAGTGAAAGTTGAAGAAAATTCTTGTAATCTAGAATATGAAAAAAGATTGAAACTCGCAAATATAAGAAATTTTTCCTAGTCATACTCGAGATGAATTTTGGGTTTTGGTATATAAATCTATAGATATAACTTTTGAGAGACAAGAGTAAGTTATCGAATCTTTGAAAGTATAGTCAACTATTTATGTTATGATTGAACGAAAACAATTATATTGTGTGATAAATATTTAATTCTTGATGTTATGATCGAACGAAGACAATTGTGTTATGTAATAGACATTTAATTCTAAATGTGAATTATTAATGTTGAGTTGATGATTATAATTTTTTGTATAATATTCTTTTAACTTGTACTAACTTACCTATGTTTATGTCTTATTTGTTGTATTGTAGTATCACATGTACTGATATATACAATATGTAAATAAAAAATCATATAAATAATGAAAGGGAATAGTAGTAAGATTACAAAGTTTAGGAATAATAGGTAAAGTTATGCATAAATAAATAAATAAACAAATATATATATATATATATATATATATATATATATATTTTAAATCTTGAAAATATTATTGGAGATCGTACATGTGTGTATATCCAAACTCCTTATTGTCTGTTATTAATTATTAATCATGTCATAATAAAATTAATGATATAGTATTTGTTAATTACTATCGTTACATTATGGACGTAGTATAATAAAGATTCGTCTATTTGATTTTAATATTACCTGTATAATAAAATACTCTAAATACAACCAAAGCAAGAAAGAGAAATTTCAGACAATTCAGATTAAGAAGAAAAAAAACTTATTCTAATAAAATTTTAGTCGATTTTCTTTTCCACTCATTATCTAATACATAAAAATGACGAGAATCAACTTGGAAAAACGAGAGAAAATTTTGGAGAAAAAAACTTGAAAAAATGACAAGATTTTAAAATATTAACTAATTAAAATTCTAATGTATATACTCAACATAAAATATAATTTAACTTTTATCAGTTTTTAGAAAAAAAAATCTCTAGTAAACTAAAATGGTACCTTAGGAACAAATGATTAGAATAATTTCCTAATTTATCTTGATAAATTATATAATCATTAATAAAATATATTTTAGAAGTTTGAAACTGATAATTTATTTATATAAATTAAATAAGTATTGTATAAAAGGTTATTTATTTTTTATTCGAAAGCAATATATAAAAGGATAATAATACTTTGACAACATTTTTTTGACAATATTTTAACATCATCTACGTGTTATTCTATGATTGGTCCATGTTGGTGTTTATGATTATTATTATTGATTGTAGAGTAATTTTGGACCAATCATAGAATGACATGTAGATAATATTAAAATGTTGTAAAAAAAAATATTGTTAAAGTATCGTTATACTGTATAAAAATAGATGGTTGATTGTTGTTTATAGTATTATGCATAAAAGAGAAAGGTTTTTTATTGTGATTTGTTTTATGAATGGAGGTGATAGTCTGAGTGGCATTGGAAAGTGTTGAGAGCAGGTGAGGGCACACCTACCATACCCACCGTGGACCACCACCACACAACATTCATTTCAACACTCTCTCTCTCTCTGCAACATGCATGCCTTCAGCCACCATTGTGTTCTGTGTACTGTGCATCCCTTTCACACTCAAAAAACTGGCTAAATTTTAGGATCATCAAAACTATTCCTTCTTTCTATGCCCTTTATAATTTCTCTTCAGTTTGAGTTTCTAAAGATCATATATTAAAAGAAATTAACATTTTTCTTTACATGAAATAAAAAAAACTAATATTATATATTTTCTTCCTTTTTTCTTTAATTAAGCATTACCTATACCATATTTATCATTTATTTCATTTTTCTAATTTTTTTTTCTATTAAACCTATCATAAATTGAAATTGCTTTTTACTCTTTATTAAACCTAAAGTCCATTGAAAAAACATTATTGAAATTAATTATCACATTTGAAACAGTCTGATTTGAGACTTGGAATTTTAAATCTTTAATATATATATATATATATATATATATATATATATATATTTAAATTATTCTTAAACAATGTAAAATTATTAAATATATTGGAACAAATTTCTTAGTTGAAGTATAATTTTTTTAAAAAGCTAATAAATGCATAATGATCTTGGAAAATACGATTCATTTTATAATTCTTTAAGGGTTTTTAACTTGAGTATAGAAAAATCTAGATAAATCTTCTTTGGTGTTCATCAATTATTTGATACACAATCCTCGAATGTAAAAATTTGACTACACAAATAGCACATTTTCCACCTCAAGATAATTTGGTACACAACCCCATAATAATTTCTAAAAAATTTTACTTAGTAAAGTTTATTATGTATCCGTTGAATTTACTAATATAGTAATTCTTTAATCCTAACTCAATAAAAAGTAAAAATCACTCTTCATCCAATATTCCCCTTTAGCTATATATATATTAGTATACAAGTAAAGTATACTAAAGTAATAAAAAACTTGGGGAGAAGTTCAATTTCCAACTTCTATCGATCCAAAAAGCAACAATGTGACGGAAAAGTTTATAAACCTCATTTCATCATATCAAAGAAGCATTGAAGAGATGAAATGGGAATAAGGGTTTTTGGTATATGGGCGATTATTTCTTACTAGTGCGAAATCATTTGATAGTTCATCGGATCCCATGACACTTGAGTATAAAAAATTCAACATTGTCCAAAAGAAACATCAAGTTATTATTATTATTATTCGTGGTTCTTGCTAAGAAATTTTGATGATGAAAGAGTGAGGTGCAAAGTCAAAGACATTTGAAAGTGGCAACATAAGACTAGGGATTATGTGTGGTCGTTTTATTTGGTGTGAGGGACCGACCATTCTCACGGATCACCAAACCTTGACTCAACAAACAACCCATATCTGACTATGCTATGCTCTATGTTAAGCTTACCATCATTTAGTATTGAACTAAATATTGTGTTCATATATTGGCTTTAGTGCAAAAACCGTTTACTGTCTACTACTTTACTTCAAAATTATTCTAAGTTAACGAGAAACTACTTTTCCGTCTTGAGTAACAAATGGAAGTGAATCTGGACATGAGAAGGAAGATGATGCTTGTATTCCATCAAAGAAAATGTTTTCCACCTTAGTTTATTATTACCCTATTTTATAATCTATTTTTAGCGATAAAAAAAATCTTTTATGTGAATTGTGTGTTTGTTGCATTAAAATATATGTGAGAGGAATAATTGATAAGGATTATTAAGTCTCACTCCCATGCTAGTAGTACACCTGTTATCCCTACCTTTCTCCTTCACTTTCTTACTTCCACACCTCTAACTTTTGGGGTCTTCTATGTTCCATACAAAATTAATATTTGCATCATTTAACAAGATGAAAGAACATGAAAGTAAATTTCTGATTTCTAACATTTACATTCAAAGTAAATTATATTTTACAGAATGTTATTTGTTTAGATTAATTAAGGTCGATCCCTACACACTGCACTCATCAATTGTGTGAGAAGTAGTTACCTATGTTGTAATCTAACTTAGCATGAGTATAGTGAATATTAATGCAAATTTGACCATGAAATCATCTATTTAAGCTTTATTGATGGTCTTGATAATGTACATGAAGGTATAAGTGCTAAAAGGTCTATGGATATTTCTGCATGTTATTTTGTGGATGAGTGTGCAAAAGAATTACCCTATTATTACGTGTATTAATTAATTGACAAAAGTTGCTCATTGTATTTTAATCATAACCTTGGATAGGAATCTTTTAGAGTTGAGTTATGAAATCTGAGGTGGTTTGATTTTATTTTATTTTTTGTTTTTTTTATAAGAAAATAAAATGATATGTGACCTTTCACTAATAAAAAACATTTGGTTTAAATTCTCGGAATGATTATCATATTTGTTTATTGAAAAGAGTCTCATTGGATCTTAAATTTTGAAAATTCGTAACAATGAAGTCTTTTTCGTTACGATTTTTTAAAATAAAATTGAGACTGTTTTCAATAAGAGAACTCACTTGAGATTAGGAATTCAAAAATTTAAACTCAAAATATTTTTATAGTAACTTTGTATATAAATTATAATCTTAAAAGGTATAGCATGGTAATCATAAAGTAAATATCGTAAAAATGTTTTTATGTAACTTTGTAACCATCCCACATGACTAACGATCTTCCAGTCGTAGGTCTATGGACAAGAAGCCCTTTAATCGGTGGCAATTGCAACATAGAAACAAACGAGTGGTATGGGGTTCTCTACGCAACAAGCCTTGTTGCTGGAGCAAGAAGCCTCCAAGAGGAGGCCGGTGTAGTAGGCAAAACTTTTACCTGTAAATTTTTTAATATTGTAGATACATTTAAGAATACGACAAATATTTATAGATATATACTTTTTATTTTAAATAAAATTATTCAAAATAATTTTTAAAATATGAATTTAGATAACAAAATTATTTTAAAGTAAAATTTAAATAAATTCGCATACTGAAAATATTAATGTAAATAAATTTTATTTTTTAAAAAGTAAATTTAAATAAATTACACTAAAATATAAATTAAAAAAATTAAAAATTCTTTTAATTTCATTGGTCTAAATAAAAAAAATAAAAATATATGAAGTTAAATTCTAAATGATTTTTCATTATTAATATTTTTTCACTAATAACTTTATTTATTTGATTTTGCTTTGTTCAAAAAAATATTTCAAATAAAATTGCAAGTAAATTATTAATGGATAGCATCTTACACAACGAATTACAATCTCAGTGACAAGTGAATAATTCAAATATTTAGTCCAATACTACTACAAAAA